GCTTTTCCACTGCACCAGGTACCTACTTTTGGTACTTTGAGAAAGTACCTAAAATACAGTACTTCAAAGTGTTGGCTTTCCATTGGCATAAAAGCTGGTTCCCGGCACTGAATGACATTACAACATGAGGCGGGGTACTTTGTACTGAATTTGAAAAATGGCTATAGTATATTATAGGGCTGGACAATGTGTGACGTTAATACTAACGTAGCATGTTATGCACATAGAATTTTAACATTGCAAGGACCGTAGTAGTCAGCTGGGTTGAGATCAGGCTTTGTCATATTCATGTCCAGACAAATAGCTACCCTCTGAAAATCTTCCTAGATGTACCTAGCTAGTGCCGGCTGGATTCTACAAGGACGTACCCACTTAAATGGTAGACATGCTGTACGTTCAGAGAAGCCTTTCCGCATGTCACTGTTGTACTGGGATGTTTATTTTGTCACTGGTGTCCTTCCCGTTAGCATTAACAAATCTGGCCATTCTCGCCAACCTTTCCCATTAACAATGCATTTTCATGAAATACCACTCAATGGATGTTTTTGGTCTATTTCGCCATTCTCTGTAAACTCTAGGCACCATAGTGCATGAAAGTCCCAGGAAGGTGGCTGTCTGTGAGATTCTGAAGCCACCCAATTACACCACGTTTAAAATGGTACTTGAAAAGGTAATGCATCTTAGCTATTAGCTATTTATTTAGGAAAGAAGCTTGGGGTCAGAGCTGCCCCGCCCCTTTGGAGTAGCTGAGACTAAGAGCATGACAGTGATATCATTACCCTAGAGGTTGCAGGATTTGAACATTTCAGACTTAATTTAAGAGCAGGCTCCTAACCAACGGGCCCACACCACTATTCTAACACTTAGCCACCTGTGGATAGTTCGGGTCCAGAGAGGAAAAATCCTGACCAAGATTTGGTTTCAACTAACCAGTTGAGTACTCTGTGTCAGTAACTCTTTATACTCAATTGGTTGGTTGAAACAAAATCTTGGTCTGGATTTTTACTTTCTGGACCTGAACTATCTACCTATGTACTTACCTGCGTAGTAATTAAACCTCCTGAGCCTGTCTGCATGCTGTATGTTTAAAGTTGCAGCCATATGATTGGCTGTTTGGAAGAGCAAGCAGGTGTATCTAATAAAAGAGCCACCAAGTGTATATACACACATACGGAGTATTTCAGTAGCATAGTTTATATATGTACTTGCCATATACATTCAGGCTTAAGAGCATATCAAGCAAATGAATGCTACTGTATTCTTCTTATTATTATTATTGATGTCATAAAAAAATTATACGGAATATCTAATTTGCTTGTTAAAGTTCATGAATGTATCATGCTCTGTGTGTGGAGTTTCATCACTGGGGGGTTCCTCTGGGTAGTTTCCCCCCACAGTCCAAAAACATGCTGAGGTGAGTTGGAGTTTCTGCATAGTGTGTTGGTGCCCTGTCCTGGGATACTCCCTGCCTTGCACCTGTAGCTTCCGGGGTGGGCTCTGGATGATGATATACATTTTGTCCCTCCTAAGTGCTATGTAATGCACAGGGACATTACCCTCACCACATAACACTGGAAAACCTGAAGTGAGTTCTGGAAATAATCTAGTACCCAAAGCCCATTTGTCCTTGGCCCAGTTTAGTTAAGGTACCGTCTCCATCCATGCAGACCAACGCCTAGAGTTCACTGGTGGGACAGTCTCTGTGGCCTCGCCGGCCAAGCCTTGTATCTCAGTCCGCAGGGTGTCACAGCGGAGGGATGCTAATCCGCTACGGAACGCGCGCCAGCATTCTGCTTGCCGGAAACGCCGCCGGGTGAGCGTTTAGACGTCCGCAGTGTGGGGGGGGCATATAGGGAGCCAGGCTTGACAAGCAGGCCGCTGCTCGCCGGCTTATGTTCCTGCGCTCACGGAGAGCAGATTGGGGTATGTCACGCTCCGCCTCCCCTCGCTTCCTGCCTCGCACATCTGGCCTCCATTAACAGCTGCTCTGGCTCCAGCAAAGCCGGACTGGCGGTAACCGTAGTGGGGAGGGGGGG